TCTCTCTCTCTCTCTCTCTCTCTCTCTCTCTCTCTCTCTCTCTCTCTCTCTATCTCTCTCTCTTTCTGTCTGTCTTTTGCACATACATACACACGTGCACACAGACGCATACGCACTCACAAAACACTTACAAAACACATACATACAAATATCAATCGTCTCAAAATAAAGTACGCTTTAAGAAAAAAAATCTTATCATTCAGTAATAACTGAACAACATTAAACATTTTAGGTATGAATGGAATGCACAACCAAATACGATTTCTTTCACTGTATGTAATAATAAAGTATTGTCAGTTTAACCAACTGCGAGGCATCGTTGTGAAATCAGGCGCTCGTCAAAATTTAATGAAATTGAAGATATCAGCATTTTTCTTATGGTTCGGCAATTTTTGTCGAATTTTATTATTTAGCTCAACGGCTTTTATTTCTATGTAAAAACTCAGTTATGTGTGGATTTTACTGAAAAACGTTGACTAAAAGAAAAAAACAACAACAACAAGCCATGCGACTCTTCATCTTTGGAAATCACCAAACTTCGGCAGCCACTTTCTCGCTAATTTTACATCTTAAAGAAGGCTCCCACAACCCCCTTCAGTTGCAAATATGTCGACTTCTACTCAAGATAGGTGACATTTCTTCCTTCAAGAGACGGAAATATGAACAGGCTAACATAAGACCAATAACTTCACATGCCCAAAATTTCACCGAAAGTCCACCTTGCCGTCACACAAATGCTTAACATAAACTAAAGGAAAGCTGAAATCGATTCAATACGTAACCCGAAAACGCCTCTTTTGGAAATCTTAAACAAGACGTCCAAAGTCGACAGTTACTGGTGAAAGTTTCAATACTAATTAATACAACTAGTGGCCCAGACCAAAAGCAAAAACTTATCTTAACTCTAACGCTTTGAATGTTAGTGTTTTAGCTCCTTTAAAACAGCAGCTGTATGCTTCCCAGAAAGTTGAGATTGTTTCAGAATGCTATTGGGTCTGCTGGGATGAAATATATTAGAGTTTGCAAAGCGACTAGAGTTTGCTGTTGAGCGGGGATTTACGCTATCTATCAATGAAGAAGTGAATGATGAGAATAATAAATTATATTTTTTCGTCCTTCTTTGTAAATAAACGCTCAAAATGCTACCTTCTACTCAACAGACCGCCTTGTACAATTATTATGTGTCCTTATGCGCGACGCGATGTCGTGTCGAGCTCGACAGTCGCTTGCGATGAATCGTAAGGCGTGTGTCCTTATGCGTGACCATTCGCACGGTGCGTAATAGGGGGTGCCCACATGCACGATCGGTTCAGGTCAGGTTGGGTCGATCTGGTAGTCGGGGCTAGCCAAATTGAGGGCACAAAGCGGCGATCGTGGCACAAACTGATCAACTCGGTCGGTGACCTTCAAAAACAGACACGTTTGTTTTCAGGCCTGCGATCGGGAGGTTTGCAGCCAATCATAACAAGACTGAGTCACATGTCCATGTTGACACTCAAAATCCTGTTGCGCCTTCTTTGAAAAAGTGTGGACTCTTCGAACAGAGTTACCCTACGTGAGTGAAAAACAATAATAGCGGAACTAACAAACTGTGATACTCTTCTTCTTCTGAAAAAGAAACGAAGGAGAGCTTCAGAACAAAGACTGCAGCGCCATTTGAACCAATGCGCGGACTTCCTCGGACACCTTTTTGGCCGAGTGAACTATCTTGCTAAGAACGATAGTTGATAATAGTACGTTATCGATGTAACCCATGTTTATGGGTTTATGGGATTCCAGGCTGCCACAGCACTGTGACAGGGAACTTTGGAAAGGAGCCCTGGAAGCCACTGAGGTTAAAGGTTTCTCTAATTTAACTTCCAGGTCATCATCATCATTGCCTTTCTCACCCTGGATCAGGATACAGG